CACTGCCGGTGGGACCTCACACAAAATGGGGCATTGACACTCGGCTATTTTCTGCCATTTCAAAAGCCAGCACCTGAGGCCTCCGGATGCTGTGAGATATGTTGAAGAGTTCTGAGGTGAAAATTGGGTTTGTTTTAAATTGCTTGTTGGCAGATAACACCCGTGAACACTGCTGGAAGTGAGGAGTTTTGCTCCGGTTGTTTTCTCAACAAAGTCGTGGTGTGGTCGTCATTTGTTGAATCGGCTTCGATGTTCCTCGAGCCTGCAAGTCAGCATGCAAATGCTGCGGCGGGGTGGGTGCGGGGGGGTAATTTGCCTTGCAAAGTACACCCATCTGCCCTTTCAGCGGCTCATTGGCTCCCGAGATCACGGTACGATCTGAACCGGAGTTATTTGGTTAATTGACCTTCTGTGTGCATACATTACAATAAATTAATTTGGGTCCGGCGTGCGGCATTAAGAACACAGCGGGGAAGGCTGGCTCTTTAATATTCAGCTGCCCGCATGTGTGTCATTTGACTCTGCTTTGCTGCAGTTTAGTGGTTGAGTCGGGGAGAGCGGAACGATCCGTCACCAAACCTCTCTTTCTCTTTGCTCTCCAAACCACTTTTTCCAACTTCCCGAAGTGACCTTGCTATTTCGGCGAAGGCGTCCGTCCGTATTGCGTGCGCCCGCGTGGCCCCCTCTTGGCGATGGACAACCATTAACCCGCAGCGAAGGGGTTGACAAATATTTATGTCTGCCTGTCAGCGGTGACGTGACGCCCCCTGGAGATGAAGAAGATGTCTATTCGACTCGGACCACAATTGTTCTGTCCGGTCCGCCGCAAAGTGGCGTGGACGCGTGCGCCGTTTGTGCATGCGTGTTAAAGCCAGGGACGTCTTCAGAGCCCGAGGTGAGCAGCGGCCCTTCATCGCTCCCCGCCACGACAGGCTTGCCGCCTCTCAACAGCTTTGTCTGTTCGCAACAATAATGATCGCAAAGATGTCACGACTGTTGATCAATAAGTTGACGTCAAGACTGATTGGGTATTTTATTTTATTTTATAAATGGTGGCCACTTCATTGCCCCGTTGTTGGTTGAGAAACGATTCGAGAATGTCCGTCTACACCACCTCGATCAAGTTGAGGCGGTAAAATGGTCTTGATGGCTTTAGATGGGGTTTGTGTGGCAATAAGCGGGCGTGTGCGTGCATTTGTAGAGGACAACAAAGGTCGAATAATGACGGAGAGTGAGATGGAATTAACGATTGCTCCGAGAGTCCCCCCAGATTGCCAAAGGCGTCTCTTGTGGGCCTCTTTTCAAGCCAAGTCGCAGGCAGCGCCCGCATCCGCTTTCCGAGCGTCACGTGCAGCTTAAGCCGCCGCCGTCTGTCACGACGCGTCTTTGCTCGTGACGTGGCCACTCTTTGACATCGTGCTCAGTCTGTCTCTCCAGACCCGAGAAGAGCCTGTCATGCTTCAGCAGGCCGGGTAATTATTTCTCTCTTATCCCTCTTTGCCAGGGCCGGTCTTCGTCTGCAGTCGAAGTTGGGGACCGCGCACACTTGCCATCACCTCTTTGCATCTTCTCTCCTCTTCCATTGGTTTCAGTACGCCTCGCTCCACAAGCTGCCAAGACCTTCTTGTCATGCAGCTGGGCTTTGTTCATTTTTTTTTTTTTGTTTTGCGCTCCATCAACCCTATGAAGAGATTTGCACGGGCGTGAGAGCTTTTCACTTTTCTAACGCTTCATGTTCCAGAGGTAAATGTTGCCTAAAGAACGTGCCGAGGGAGCATCTTAGTTACGGAGCCTGCGTGACTCCTTTTGGTCTCCTTCGCTGATTCAAAGGCAAGGACATTTATACCCAAAAGCAGTCTCATCACTTTGCCGTGGTCCAAAGCTCATTTACCGGAGCCCGAAGTCAGAAACTGGCAACAAGGCAGGAGGCAATTGCTCATGGATGCCTCAGCACGGGCTTGGAGTGTCATCTCGATGATCTTGTTCAATTGGCACACGGTTCGATCGGTGGTATCTGGACATTGATGCACTTTGGATTCAGTCTTGGGGCGGCACGGTGGTCCACTGGTTAGCACGTCGGGGTCACAGTGCAGAGGGCGGAGGGTTCGATGGATGGATTCAGTCCGAGTTGAATGAGTATTTTGGGCCAAACCTTTCTGGTGAAACTGTACCCGGCTGTAGTATGAAGTACAAGGGGAGCAGCCGGGTCGGGGGGGGTGGGGGGGGCACGGCAACACATCATCGGTGAACATCTTGTGTGACTTGGTCAGGCATTCGTCAGTGGTCTCTGTAACATTTGTCACGTTTTACCCTCGCTATCATCAGTCGAGCCGGGTCGGCATCTGCTAACGGTCAAAATGTGGGTAAAATGCCTTCCGTTTGCTGGTTCCATTGTGTTGATGACCGGTCGAAATTGGAGGCCAAATGAAAAGTCGCTTCACCGCCACGAGTGGACCGTTGCCCGGGCATGGCTGCTCAACGCCGTTCTTCCAAGACGTGCGATTCCGGACATGGGGCCCGTCGTCTTCATTTGGGAGCCGCGCATGTTTAACCCGCGGCTGTCGGCCGGCGCAGAGCGCTGATTGAAAACAAATCAACAAGGCCCGCCAGAGCACGTGGGGACAGTACGGGCTGTCTGCCGAAGATAAGCGCAACAATGGCCCCCTAATAGGCCGCAGAGGGACACGGAGCCGTCTCCAGCCCGCTCTTTTGCCAACCCGATCCGCTCGCCGGTGACAAAGGGAAACGCGACGCTCCTCTCCCTTTTCCTCCCTTCCTGCAGAGAGATTAAGAGCGCTTAGCGGGGATATGGTCGTGAAAATGTGTATCTGACTGATAATTCAGCAACGCTTGCACAACTCTCGAAAGGAGCCTGACAAGAGTGAGAAAGGAACACGATGCTTGCGCTCTGTTCCCTCCTTGGCTTGGATCTTGAAAGGAGGACAAGTACACGCACTCTTGCCCTCTATTCGTCAGCAGATAGAAGGTGGTGACTTGGTGTTTGCCTTTTATTTGCTATTTAATTCTCGACAGTGGGGCTGATGTCCTTCTGGTGAGTCTTACTTGGATCTGCCTCTTTTTCCCATTTTGACTTAAATACGCTTTGGCAGGTTTCGGAACGCCGACAGCAATGATCCTATCCACGCTTTGGCAGGTTTCGGAACACCGACAGCAATGATCCTATCCAGTAAAATTTGAATAATTTCACATGGCACCCAGGTAGCAAGCCGTGTGTCATTGCATGAAAAAAAATGCACACAGATCGCCGGAAAAGAGCAAGTTGGCGCATTGCATGTGCTCAGCTTTGTTGTGTAGGAAAAAAAATAAAATAAAAGACAAAAAAATCCTCCCTGGTGCCAAATATGCTCACCGGCCTCTGTGACAAGAAGTTGTGTGCAGTCTATTGCTCCCGAGTTTGACGTTGGAAACAGATTGCCACTGTGACACATCTGGGTGAGAATTTTGAGGAGTGGGGCAGAACCTGTGATTGGAGTGGCTGTCACATCAGGAAGATTAGCCTTAAATTCCGATGGTCTCCTGACAGTTGCCGTCATTTTCAAGAGAAATTCCTCACTTCCTACTTTTCCATTTCAACACTCTGTCGCCAAACCCGTGTTCCGCTCACTCATCATATTCACCTCCGACGACGTCCAAATGTTTCACTGACTCGCCACGTCCCCCCAGGAAAATTCTCTCCCACAGCCTGTGCGCTTTTGCACGTGTGGCACAACTAATAAGGAGAGGCAAAGTATTGGCCAAAAGTCTTGTTAGAAACGGCGCTTACCTCCGCGCCAAGCGACATAAATCTTCTCTTCTGTATCATTTATATACACGGATGTCAATAGGGGACGCGTGAATGGAAGAAATATTGTTCCTCCCAAATGAGACGGGGTTGAAAAATGGGATGCCAACACCAAGAGAGCAGGACCGGGAGAAATGCTTCTGAATCTCTGCTGCCTCCTCGTGGGAGGCGGTTGGTGTATCGTGTTAGCACAATACAGCTGCTTATTTATTTTATTTTATTTTTTTTTAACATGTGGTCAATCTGAGCACTACATAACACAGACTACAGAATTTAAAAACATTGTTTCTTGTCCCTTTGCTCAGGGTAGCCATTGAGCCATTTTCTCTACATTCCGTTGCCTCGCTGCGCAGAGCTCGGCCCCGATCGCTGCTGTTTACAATGACAGATTCATTTGGGCAGCATGGAAAGGACGACGCCTTGACTGTCACTCTATTAGCTCGCCAAGTCCTTGATCCTCTCTGCCAGTAAACATCATTACCACGCGCTGAAAGCTTTGCACATTAGCATCCAGCAAGCGCGAGCACGTATGAGAGACACTTACTTACTTACAAGGCGTTCGCCCGAGTCGGCGCTTGCAGATTAGCAGTGATTACAAACAAGCATCGGGGATTAATCCTGTGTGTTCTCCCGTCTACTTTTCCAGTCAGCTAGCCGGGCTAATTATCGCTTGTGTAATCGCACACACACGACGCACAAACGCGAAGCTCGCTTTCTTTGTTTGATCGATACGTCACTTGCCGCCGCTTGTATTATACGAGCAAATGAACTATGCCGTTGTCTTGTCGGGACGACGACATCGCGGGCCCGTCGCTAAAGCGTTTGCGTCTTCTTGCTAGCTGCTGAGGAAATGTGGACACCAAAAGAATGGAAGTCCTCGTCGTTGCCCTCTTTGTGTAACCGGCAGAGGTGACAAAAGTCCCATCTTAATAGGTAGAAGTTGTCATGCAGACTTGATTTGGTCTTGAGCTCGCTAGCATTGGCTCAGACAATGACATTGACGTCATCTACAGAGTTGGAAAAAGTAGCCAAGGCCGGGCGGGCACTTTGATTTCGAGAGCACATTTCATACCCGAGGCAACTCAATGTGCTTCACACAAGCAATGACGCAACACCTGCATCTGGTATTTTCTTTTGTTCCTCCACCAAATGCTAGCAAGTATGGCGTACAAATCATGCCTCATCTTGTAAATTTCAGGTGGAGGCCATCCTGGTCAACATTTTTGGCGGGATCGTCAACTGTGCCATTATTGCCAACGGGATCACAAAGGCCTGCCGGGAGCTGGAACTCAAAGTGCCTCTGGTGGTCCGGCTCGAAGGTAGGAAAGCGCTTCAAAGCAGCGGGGTCCGCACCCGCCTCGACTGTCTTGCATTGCATGAGATAATGAGGCCGGCCGACTCGGGTCACTCGTGTCCGGGATCTCTGCGGCACTGTGGGTGTGTTGGCGTATTGTCGCTGGCATTTAGCTTCCCTGCGGCCGCTTGCGTGCGAGGCAAGCCTCGTTCAAATGACCTCTGAGGCTCCGTTCCCGGCGCCCACTGCATCCCCGTTTGCCCGGAACATCTGATTTTGACCTCTCTTTTCCCTCCGTAATCAAGTCCGGTTGAATTTTCTCCGTGACAGGCCGTTGGCGAAGGCTTGGTTGCTGAGTCCCTGAGGCTCAAAGGCACACTCCACTTTGTTCCCTTCCGGGACTCATGTGAGCCATCGTCGCCGTTCGTTCTCCTTTGACTTTCTTCACTATTTTGGAAATAAACACGCTACCGTGACACAATTGCACAACTGCGTGAAGCTCTCCGGCGGCAAACGTAGCGAGTCGACCCTGCGGCACACAACTCGCGAGCCCCGTTATCTAAGAAGACCGCAGGAGGTCTTTGCCTGTGGTGATCCCAACCGGGTTTGTTTGGCCTCCTTCGCACTTTCCATCTCGGCTTTCAGTCTCGCGGAGGAGATTGGGCGGGAATCAATCGGCTTCGCTCACGAGGCCGGCCGCAGGGCAGCGGGCGCAGCCCGACGCTCTTCCCTGGGATCAGAATGGATTAAGTGGCACACGTTTCATTGGGAAAGCTCGATTAAACGGCTTGGCGTGATTGCCTTGGCTCGAGACTCGTCCGTGTGCGCGCGTGCGTGCGCTTGTTTGCGAAGAAGGGCCAACTGGTTGCGGTGCAGGCAGAGTTGAAGCAGGAAAGCCAACGGGTGCCATGAGCTTTTTTGCGTCAGGTGGAAACGTCGCAGAAGAAGTCCACGATCGCGACTCCGCTGGCCACACTGCCAAGAAAAAGAAAAACTTGAAATCGCCCTTGCGGCTCAACAACAAAGGTCAAGAAGAGCCCACCGTCAAACCGCAAAACTGCGCAGGCAGCTCACTCGCCTCGCGCGCGTCGCGTTTCAAACATGTCAGTCAAACCTCTACATTCGCGTCAGGCGCCATTGAAGCCGCCGACTCGGCGAGCCCCTTCCTTGGCACCCCAACATGCTCGGCGGTGCGGATGTTTTGAAGAAAAGTCCGACGACATCAGCGGCGACATCGTAAGCGCTCATTGACATGGCAGCGCATCCAAAGGAAAAGGATGCGCCGCGTGCCGCTCGCAAGCTACCTCGAATGCATTCCAATGAGCACATTTGACGTTTGACTCACGGGACGGGAAGAGCGCGTTTCAAACGTTTGGGATGCAGGGAGGAAACTCGCGCCGCTCGCCACTGATCACGAGGAGGAGTCCCACTCTCCCGACTGGTATGATGACATCGGCTGATGAGTGAAAACCTTTGGAGAAGTCCATCCCGATAGGAGTGGAGCTCACTGAAATCGTTGACCCATTTTTACTTTTGGTTCACCCTCGGCTGATGAGTGAAAACCTTTGGAGAAGTCCATCTCGATAGGAGTGGAGCTTTTTACTCAGCGGGTTCACCAAAAAAAAAAAAAAAACGACATTGATGTTCACGTTTGAAACCTTGCACTGTACGGATATGCTGCGTTTCGGAATCAATCAGAAGCTGGAATTGAAGCCCCAAATCAGTTTTGGGTTGCTGGGTTGGTTTGTTTGTTTTTCAATCCCGCCCCCGCCCTCAACCTCAGGAGTGGAAGGCCGACGTTCGAACCACTCAAACATTCCCGGGTACCGCTTGAACTGAAGCATGCCTGAGAATGTGGCGCTCCTGTTCAGTTCTGCAACCGCTCGTTCCTCGAGCGCCTTGTGCTTTTCTCTTCCCCGGTTCCTGACATGCAGCTGTGACTTGAAGGGGGGGAAAAAGAGAGAGAGAGAGACCGACCTTCCTCTTTGTTCCGCAAGAGAGTGGGTCTCCAGCAGCACCTAGTGGCGACAGGCCAACACTGCGCCGTCTATTTTGAGCCTCACCGAAACACACCTCGGCGGGCGACGCCCGCAGAAAGGGCCCTCGCCGGCGCACTTCTTTCTGTCCTCGCCTTTGGCACTTGGGGCATGCGAGCGGTCGCAAGCTGAAAGGCGCTCAAACAGTCCTCGGCAAAATCGCGGTTCAACGTGGGCTCCGCATCCGCCTCTCCCGCACGTGAACGTCCCAAAAGTATTTCTTGCCGTCCTGTTTGTTTCCCTGAGCGAGGCCTCTTGCCGCGTTCGTCCTCATAAATGACACCGCCGAATGGATTGTTTGCAGCGCAGAGCGTTAGGGAGGACTCGTTACCCAGCAGGACAAATATGATGAGGCGCTAAGCGGCACCGGCAAAGCATGTCCTGACTAACGTGCCATTGAATGGAGCGGGACGCGGGGGCGGGGTAAGCCCCGCCAGCACAGTCAGACGTGTGGTGTATGTTGAAACCGACCGTTTGGTTTTTTTTTTTCAAAGAAATGGCCTGGCAATTGTCTTACGGGCCCCCAACATCACCGATAAATCAGGTGTCGGCCTTGTCGTCGTGGTCGCGGCGCTGGCTCAGCAGAACAGCATCGGGGGCCGTTTTGGCTCGATTAAACCTTTGTGCTGTTTGGCTCTCTCTCGCCGGTTCGCGAGATATTCAGCGGGCTCCCTCGCTGGCTCGCCGCATCCTTCAGTCGGCAGCGGCGCACCCCCCCCCCCCGCCCGTGTGTTGTGACAGCCTTGTCAGCTTTGTGTTTGCTTTCATGGAGGCAGCCGGCCAAGAGTTGCTGGCTCATGTGTGCGTGCCTGTGGCTCTGTCTGTGGGGTGTGAGTGGGTGTATCTCTCTCGCTCTCTCTGCTCGGGCTGCGCTCTACGGCGGTCCCGGGCCACCATGTCAGGCAGCATCTGCTGCCCTCTTGTTCTCGTCGCAAGCCTGCGGCGCGCACGCAGACTAATGACTGCCGTTTACAGACAAAGCGAGTGAACTTGACCCGTCCGTCCTTTGTGTGGATTTCCTCCGTTGGGTTTACGCGCCCCCGCCGATCCCGGCTGCCGATTTTCTGTTCGGTCAACCAGGAAGAAGTTCCAGACACACCTGCGAAAAGTGAAAATCTGCCAATATGAAAGACATCTCGAAGGGGTGCGGTGTGCTTGCTTCAAGCTGCCTGCGTCACGCCCACTTGAAACGTACTTTCAGCCTGACGCCAAAAACAAAATCTGATTGGTTCAAATAAAAGCAGCAATTTGACAGTGTGTGTCCCGATACCAGTCTCAAGTATTCTGAAGGTCTTCAGACACCGAAAAAGGTGAGCAGCGATGTCGTGGGGATTCATGTTTTTGTTTTGCCTGCACCTTTTAGGGACCAACGTGCATGAGGCCAAGAGGATCCTGAGCGAGAGCGGCCTGCCCATCACGGCCGCAGACAATCTGGACGATGCGGCCCAGAAAGCCGTGGCCGCCATCAAGAAGTAGAAAAGCCCCATTGAGCTTCCTCAGCGTCCTCCTTGTGGCCTTACTTTCCGCGCCTTTTCCATTACGGCCACGGAGACGACCTCGGGCCAAAAGCTACTTGGACTTTTTTTTTTTTTTTTTAACACGACAACAGATCGTCGCCCGGTTTATGATCTGCTGACCGATGGAGCCAATCATTTCTCCGCCCTGGTGCACATCGCCTGCTGATGTTTCCTGTTGGCACCTTTCTCTCTGTTCTCTTCATTGATTGCCTTCGATGACGTTGCAAATGCCTCGCTTTTCATTTCACTCCGATCATATATTTGCTCACCGTGAAGGTATCAAAACAGCGCGCTGACACTTTTCCCCGTTCTGTTTTCCAACACATGTTGTGTCGTTCTCCAAGGTCATGCTGTGACACGTTTACGGGCATTTGGGTCGAGGTCTCGTTTTTATGAAAATGCATTGTTCCAATCAAGAGAAATTTTGGAAATCGCCTCATCTTTGACAGAGGTCAGAGGCTGCCAATGGCACAATCACGCAAGCAGCCAATGCCCAATCTTTTTTTTTTTTTTTTTTTTTTTTTTTTGTCTCCATCAATGCTCTCATGTGAAGGATGTCCAACTCGACTGCTGTGAATTTTCTACAAGAATTAATGGACAGTTTGTTCTTCACTCATCAATTCAACATTGTAAACCTTCTGCACACACACACACACACACACACACACACATATTTTTATGTGTGTGTGTGTGTGTGTGTGTGTGTGTGTGTGTGTGTGTGTGTGTGTGTGTGTGTGCGGCACACACAACTGTTTCGCACGTCCGCCTCACAGTGTAGAGGTGCGGGGGTTCGATTCCAGGCTTCATGTGTGAAGTTTGCATGTTCTCCCTATGCCAGTCGGGGTTTTCTCCGGGTACTCTGGACGTTCCTCCCACATTCCCAAAAACATACATGGCAAGTTGATGGAACACATTAAATTGAACTCAGATGTGATTGTGAGCGCAGATGGTTGTTGTTCGTCAATGTGTGCCTTGCGATTGGCCGGCAACCGGTCGAGGGTGTCCTCCGCCGACTGCCCGAAGATGGCTGATATCGGCTCCGTCATGCCCCGTGATCCTCGTGAGGAGAAGCGGATCCGAAAATGGATGGAGGCATACGGATCTATATCGAGAGATATAAACCTCTGTGTACTTTTTTATTACCGTGTAATGGGTGAAAAAGGTCAAAGGGAAATCTATGAAAAGAATTTGAATATGTAATGAGTGCCTAATTTCATTCAATAAAATTCCTACTGATGTCATTTGTGGCAGTTGGTTCATTTGGAAGTTGTACAACACAATTACAAATGTTGATTCCATTTTTAGTCTGTCTGCAGTGCACTGTCAGTAAAAAATGGCTTTCAGAGCCAATCTCAGGTTTGCCCGAATGTCTTCAAGTGTTGCTGTGCGCGCGCGTCAGCACGCAAACACGTGTGCTTCATACACCAAGAGGACATCCCTTCATGTGATGATGCATCCTCCTTTTGAATTGGAGCGACATGCTGTACTTAAAACAGAATTGGAGTTATTTTCAACCGGTGAGTCACATCGATGGAGCAATCGTGGCATCAACGAATGAGCAAACATCTCGACAATTTTGCACTCTTGCTCGGCCGTTCCTGTTCTGAATGCTCTTTTATTAAAAAATTGTTCCCTGCAAGTAATTTGTCTATTATCAAGAAAAGAGAGTTGATGAGTTTGAGGCCCCACCTCTACTTTTGAGTGAGAGGACGCGCTCAGTCCTGGGAAACCCTCCTTGGCATTTTCGAATCCAACTCCCGAGGCGGACCTGAGCCGAGTGACTGTCCTTGATGGACTTCGGGACGACTCGGCCAAAAGTTCCTCCTGACAAAAGCACCGATTGTGTGATGGATGATCTGTCACTTCAATCTGAGAGGAAGCTCACAGCAAACGGGCTTGGACAACCCACCATGTGAAAAACACAACTCAAGTACGCACGCGCGCCACAGAAATATGAACTTTTGACCTTTGGTTGATGCTTTCTGGGGGCGGGGGGGATCGAGATTACTCGAGAAAGTGCCACTGGTACTTGCAGTTTGGATTTTTTTTTTTCTCTTTGTATGTCCAGTATATGTGCTGCGTCGACTTTGAACGTCCACGTGAAGCACCGTCCAAGTCGGAAAACATGATGCAAGTGGCATTGCACGATTCACTTGTCGCGTGTATGGGAAGGAAGAGTGCTTCTGCACCAAGAATTCAGTTCCCATGTTTTATTTTCCGTCGACGTGTCATCTGAAGACTCAAAAGTCGGGCGGGGGCGAGACAAGTGGGGGGGGGGTACGCACGGCTCATTTGAGCTTCCCTCACGCCTGCCAGCCAAGTTGTAGAAATGGACCGAAGGGTTCAATAATTGCCTTATTTCATGCTCCTGGCCGCGCGTGTCAGAAAGCTCTTGGCTGATGGATTGGACGGAGGAATTTAAGGCTTGTTAACGCAGCCTCCTCGGGCCCTGATATTCTTTAATTCAGTGTCAAGTTGGAGGTCAACACGACGAAACGTGCGCGCTGATTTACTGGGTAAAATTAGTGCCGCTCCGCCGTATAAATATAGATGAGGGCCAAGAAGCTTTGGAGGTCAGCCTGAAGACTTTCGTGTGTCAAGCAGCCTTTTAAGTGCACTAAATACAGCGCCTTTGGATGGGGGGGGGTCAGTTTTATTCCTATTGGTGGCTCACTTTTGCATTGTAATTGTTGGTTTGGGTTCGTGAACGTGTGGCTGCTTATGGTCTCGATATGAAAACATTCAGCTGCTGCCCTGGGGAGACACATCTCGTCTCTTGGCTCTTTTATCCTGATGAAATTAGTTTTTTGAAAGATATCTCTCGATAGCTTTCCAGACTGACTTGAAAGCCAACAGCTCGTGCTTTATCAACTCAAACAGACTTGAATGGCCTGAGGTTTGTGTTTCGTAAATGTTTTTTTCCCCTAACCCCGCCGTTGACTAGGTGGCGGGCAGCTTCTGTGCGTTCATCGTTTTTACATAGGGCCAAGTTCACGGCGCAGGAGGGTGAAAATGACCAAAATGAGAAAGGGGCGCGCATCGATAGCGAGCTGCCGCGGGCGCGCGCGTTGGGCCGCCCTTGGCTCGCAAATGAACGGAGTAATCAATTTGCTCCTTTCCCACACGGTTGTCAGCGGATGTCCGTAAGCGGAGGACTTGGAATCGATTCCAATGACTTTGCCCGGAGAATTTGAGTGAGTCGCAGACAGCTTTCCGAAAGGTAATCCTCATCATGGCCAGACCTCCACAATCTTGGTTTTCGCCGTGACCATCTCTTGTTTTCACCTCGTCTCCCCGCCGCTGTCGAGGTCCGCCGTGCACTCAATATTCATTTTCAGGATCGAACGCTCACTTTGCCCACCCAAAAATCGGAAAATCGTCCTTTAGCTCCTCTTATCTTTCCGCTTATCCCGTCTTGAGTCGCCGCCGTTTCCAACTTCTCTAGCAGGGAATGCTGGCACGAAATCATTCCTGTGGAGCTGGGGAGTGGATTTCTTCATCCTTTTTTTTTTTCACAAGTTGCACATGATGGGCGGGGTGCAGGGCGTTTGGGTGCTGTTTGAAATGTTAATTGAAGACTCTCTCTTGTTTCTCGCCGAAAATGTTTGATTGCCTCCATGTGCCCTTGCAAGTGACTGGCAACCGGGCCGGGGCGTACCATGCCCACTCTGTCACTTGTGTGGGCACATTTATGGTTTCCTTCCTTCTTCTTGGCCAGGCGGGCGACAATCTAGAGTTGAGAAAGGGACCCACAGGCAGATGCGATGAACTCAGAACGGGTTTTATTGACAAGAACTGAAGGGAAGTCCGAATAACCAAGTCGAGGGCGACACGAAGGCTGGAGCGAGTACGGCGGGAAAGATGGCTGACGAACTGGCAAGAGGTGGCTGCTCAGGCTGTGTTTGAGGCTGTCGGTGGCTGACGAGAGGAAGACTGGCGGGTGTGTAGGGGAGGCAGGTGCACTGATTAGGGAGAGGCCCAGTCCACACCGAAAAAGGGAACACAAAAGGGGAGGGGCAACAGCGGGGACGACAGAGGACAAACAACGGATTCCAACAGGATCCTGTCCTGGATGCAACGGCGCAGGCGGGAGAAAGCTCCGCCCTGGATACCGCGCTACAAACTTGGAAGCTGATTGAAGGTGACCTCCGAACGGCAAACGACACCGAATCCAAGCGTGGCCCAGATGGCAAAATCCTAAATCCTCTTTGAAAGCACTCGATAAGTCCTCGTGGAACACACCGCGGGTGCTTGCCGTCATATAACACTTGGCGACAAGAAGAATACCGCGGGTGTGATGAGCCCAGACACATTTTTTTTTAAATATATTTTGTTTTGCTACGATGAGGTGATGCTCTGTGTGTGTGTGTGTGTGTGTGTGTGTGTGTGTGTGTGTGTGTGTGTGTGTGTGTGTGTTGACTCATCAGAGCCGTGTTTGTGTGCACGCGGTGAAGGTGACTTTGACGCATAACTGCGATAACGGGAACATGTCCGCAACCGTCTCATATTCAAGCGGAATAAATTAAACCAGTTTGGGCGTGCGTGTCGAGCACATTCGCAGTCTGTGACTCGGCCGGCAGCACAAACCCATCACAAAAGTGTTCTGTCAACCCGGATTTTTTTCCAGGGAGGAGCGGAGAACAGTTCTCTCTCACCCCCCCCCCCCCGCCACAGGGTGACAGATGGACCCAAGAAGGGGGC